ATTATTACCTTGGCCATTCTTATTTCAGTTTCAGAGTCAGGATGTATACATCACTTCTGTAGTCCTGTTAGATTTCCAGTACGATTTTGATTACCACTATTTTTCTGTGTTTTCCTAAAGATACAATATTCAAGAAAAAGTCTTTTGGGTTCTGTACATATACGTAAGTGCCCTTTCTTTCTTGAGTATAGAAAAATATATTTCTTAGTCCCTTTGTATTATTTTCCCCCTTTTTCTATAGATTCCTTGCAATTTTGAAGTTCATCATATTCTATCTGAACTTCCATTTCTTTAGGCCATTACAGTATATTAGGTATATTTCTGTAAAGAATTTTCTTAGTAACTCTGCAGTCCTCTAGTTCAAGGACCACAAACATCTTCCCAGAATCTTCTTCTCTGACTAGTACCTTGCTGAGACCAGGAGATTTAAGGTACAACCTCCTCATTTTGGCTATTCTCACTTCCAGCAAACTGAAGGAAATTCTCACTACAGAGTACTGAGAAATACCTTTTCTAGGTTTACATTGATTTTCTCACATTATCTTATTGGACATCTCATCTATGTAAGTCATATCAAATCTCTGTGTATATGTGTAGATGTGCAGCATACAGTTTGCAAATCAAACTTAAAAATAATGACTATTGCATAAACTAGAAGAAAAGTGATAGAAATCGTTATCTTTTGTGATGCAATATTATACATTTTTAACTTTCAACTTTATCTCTGAATTCTAATCAATTGTGTGTAAATTCTGTCTCAGCTATTGTGAGCTTCAGGAGGGCAGGACATTCATTTAAAATATTTATTGGGTATTAATAAACAACAAGGATACAATGATGAATGAAAGTAGACTGCTTCCCTCAAAGAGCCCATATTCCAGTTGGCAAAATACACGTGTAAACAAATAGCTGTCATCTAGTGAGATACATCGGCAGATTAAGTGTTAGGGAAGTAAGGAATATAGAACAGCTAATTTCTTATGGTGGGAATTCGGAGTGGGAATACAACTCAGAAAGGGTCTAAAGAAAAAGGCAAAATGGGGAATAGTCTAAAAGAAATCAATGAGAATTTGCCAATAATCACAAAGAATGGGATCTTAAGAATAGGAAAATAGCTAACAGAGCAAAAAGTTATATAAAAATAAAATGTGGCACTTATACCAAAAAGCTTTGTGTGGCTAAAATGAGAAACTTTTTTAATTCGAGGAGTGAAATCATCAGACTTAGAAAGATACATCTGGATGCAAGATGGATAGAAAGAGTGCCAGATGAAGCAGGTCCTGGTTAGCAGGCCAGTACATTTTATTAGGTAAGTGATGATTAAAAGGTTGAAGTGCAGACAAAAAGAAGTGTGCTATTTCAAGAAGTAGCTAAGAATTGGAACTGATGGACTGAAAAAATAAGTGGAGGAAGAAGAGCTATGAAAATTCTAAGAATTTTGATTTTAAGGTTTCTGGGAAAGCAGTGTTACCATTAAATTAAAACTGTAGCATATGAAGAAAAGCAAATTTGGAATGGCGTGGTATACTGAATTTAATGTCGGAATGTTTAATTTTAAGATAATTTTGGTAAATCCACATTGATCTAACCAATAGGTCAGGTGATCAGGAGTGAGCTTTGGGTTGGAAGTGAAGATGCAGGATTAATCATGTAACTATGGTAATTGACGGTGTTGGAGGAGAAGAGATCATCTGAAGGTTGGGATTGGAGAATAGGAATAAGGAAGGAATCCCAGGGAACCACAGTAGTTCATGGGGAGTAAGAAAAAAGGACCTAGTCAAGGAGAGTGTGAAATTGCCACGGAGAAAGGGACAATAGATAAAACCATCTGGGGAAAAAAAAATAAAAAATAGGAAAGCAAATGAAGCATCTCAAAAAAGATTCCATGGTGAACAGATTATATGCCACTGGGGTAGGCTAATTAAACATATGTAAATTATCTATTATATTTGGCCATTGGAATTGATATGTTTGTTTAGGTCTCATTCAAAGAACTGGAGTAGGACTGGGGTCAAAGAATTGAATGTTTTTGCATGTAAGTGGCTTAAGTGGCTGCTGTTGAGGGGAACTAGTGACATATCAATGGCAGTCATCCAGAGTTTAATAGAATACAGAACTCAAAGACACCACAAGAAAACCCTGCCCATCTCTAGATGTCTTGGATCCATGTTGGAGCCTATACACATGGCAACTAACCCCATGAAGAAATGAGCACTGCAGGATCTGAGACCGTAGAAAACTAACATGGGTAGAATGGGGTCAAAGACAAAGGACACATCCACAGTTGTTGGAAGATGTGAACTTGGAAGAGAAAATTGACTTTTTCTTAGGATATGTAGATTCCTTCCTTAAGAAGACTTTATTATTCAGCCATATCATGTCACACTGATATCAATTGAAATTATGTAATCATTAAACTTGATTTTCAATGAAGATTGAGTCCTATGTAATGTTATCACTTTTCAATTTTCACATTGGCCAGAGCATCAGTAACAATTACTGAGAGTCTAGGAGCTTCTGAAGATATCATTTGTAATAATAAAAACTTAATTAGAAGTCAAAATGCAAACAGATAAAAAATAAGGAGAGCATGGAGATAGAAAGCATAGATTACTATTTTGAGAAACATAAGTAGTGAAAGAAAAAGGGAAAGTTGGAACTTGAGTTTATTTGTGGAAAACAGTCAAGTCAGTGAAGGGAAACATTTAATTAATATACCTCCTGTTAAGTCAGAGAGAAAATGATTTGAAAACCTCAGATGAAGAAATAAATCTTAGACAGGAAGTGGGAAACTTCCCTGTGGACAGGGTATAGTCAGATAGTTTTGTTCATTTTGACTTAACAATGAGTGTTGGCCAGGATCCAAAATCCCCATATCCTGTACCAGACAGACAAAAAAATATACAGGAGAAGAGACACTAGCAGTGATGCAAACTTGCTAAACTGCCTAGCAGTCTGTCCCAAATCCCCATGTAGTGTTCTATCCTGTGACTCCAGTTAGATGAACAGAAAGATCTACAGTTCTCTTCTGCTCCTTTGGCTTAAGACCTTCCCTGGACCCAGGCTGAGTTGTATGATGCTTACTTTCTCTAGAATCCCACTTTAGTTTTTGCTTGGTCTTTACTTCCTGTATGTGGTTTAAAAAAATGTGATAAAAATAGAAACAGCAAGATGAAAGAAGTTCAGTTGTCTTTGCTCCTCTACACCAGATGTTATTCCTGATATAGCAAGATCCTAGGTATCTGTGAGTACTATATGTTGTTATTGACTCATTTTAAAGCTTTTTGGTGGTGTGAAATGGGCAGGTGCATGTGGAAAACTTGCACTTCTAGCTCTCTGGTTCTCAAGTTGCTGGGAGTGAGGGTAGGAAGAAAGATATTGAAGTTGCATAGGAGTACTTTCAAGGGAAGAGAGTGTTTGTGAGTGAATGAATCTTTGTGAGAGTTGGTAGAGGAGGGAATGTTGTAAAAACTTCCAGGAGATTCTGATAAACACCTGTCTTTCTTCTGATACTAAATCACTGCCCTGCAGGTGAGCAAGTAAGAACCAGGAGAGTGATATTCGTGTTTATGATTTAAGAGTTGGCTGTGGTAGATGATAAAGTCCAGGAACTGGGCTCGCATCATGGAATGGAGGTGGAAACAATTGGAGTAAAGGCCAGGAAAAGGTGAGTCTGGAATGTTGGGTCTTTCCACCACAGGTTGGCTGAGGCTTTGCATCTCTCCTTTATCACCCACAGCACTTTCTCAAGCAACAAGTATATACAGTGCATTCAATAAATACTCTTAATAGACTGTGTACATTTCAGAAAATGTATTACTTTTAATATCAATTATGTGAGCATGCAACATTGCTAAATACAAAAGTCATACAAGCTCACAAATGACTTCAGAGACTGCCACTCTTTTAACTGAAGAATAATATAGGGCCTTTTGAGATACCATATCATTGATCCTTTCTTGTTTTCCCTTAATGACTATGCATTTCTCCCTATAGGTTACTATAGGTTTCACAAAGCCTTGCTACCCACAGGCAGTTACTTTTCTTTATCATTTATCTGAAGATAAATAGCAATATCATTCATTTTCTAAAAGGATGTATTTCCACTGGGTCTGAGTAAAACTCAAGGGTAGGGCATTGCAGGGCACAGCTCTTGGGGTGGTGTTGTCTAAAAATTGGAAGCTGCCTGTTATCTACTGGAAAAAAATTTCAATGAATTTATGATAACATGCTGGCATAGATGCTTACAACTGATAAAATGCAAGTTTGATAAGTTCACACCTGTCGCAAATAAGTTGAAAAACTGAATTTGTCCTATTTCTAATTAAACAAAATGGGAAGCATGGGGCATTAAAAAAATCTGAACCATGTTAAATTTATAGGCTACATGCCAGAAAAATAAATTTTGGGAAGGATAACACAAAAAATAAATGTTCATTGAATTTTTTAAAAAGTCCACTTTCTATGATTTATACACATCTGTGTCTTTACATAGGTAACTTTGAGAAAGACAATTCCCATTTCTTGGACTCAGTTTCCTACTCTAAAATATGGAGGCCGAACCCGCCCATCTCTAATTGTTCCCTTCCAGAGAGACATGTTCTGTTATTGGCTTTAGTTTTATGGCCTGTGCAATAGAAACCTACTTGAAGACAAAGATGGGTTCAAATCTTAATTTAATCATTTATTAACCTTTTAATCTTGGAAAAGCTACACCTCAGTCAGCCTTAATTTCCTAATCTGTGAAATGGGATAACACTATCTTTTTAAATGAATTTTTTGAGTATTAAACAAGGGCATATGTGCTGGGAAGTGATTAACATGTGGGTTCATTAATGGGCATTCAATGTGCAGTATCGACCCATGCCCTAGGTTTCTATTTTCCTTCTCTCCTTAAAAATTCAATTCCTCGTATATTATTGACTTGCAAGTAAAAGATATCACAATAAAATTTGGAAGATACTGTGAACTTTTGCTGAGTAACATTTGTAAAGTATATGTTTTGGAAAGTAGATTTTTATCTTTCAGCTTGGGAACGCCTCTGGGTTTGAATACAGCAGACAAAGTAGCAGTAAGAGGTCAAAATAATTCAAAAGCTCCATACAACTTTGCAGCTTAGCACTATTATATATTCAAAGACAAGCATGATACCACATGCATTAATCATAGTATATCACATAGGAGCATCAACCCTCTACATATACTCAGCAGTAGTCCTAAACTTTATAAAACCACATGAAATCAGAGTGGAATTCCACAACTTTAAGGGTGAAGAGAATTTAACCGAGGTTTACAAGAAAGCTATGAGTGTAGTAAATAAGGATATTAAAAATCATTTCATGGGTTGGGTATTTTAAATGGATTACCCAAGATTGTCTAAAATAGCCTCAGGAAACTCTTTTCCCACTTGTAAGTCTATTAATAGGTAGATTTATTTAAATTTACTTGGACATTTTCTTTTATCTTCTGAGAGACTCACATTATGACATTTTTTTCTAGGGATCAATGATTGAGGACCAAACAATACCCTTGTCCCCTTATCCCTCTCACTTGAAAAGTACTGTAAAGGGAGAGGATGAGGGCAGACTTATCTTTCATCCCATTTGCAAGTACAAAGGAGGGATGAGTTCATGGTACATCCTTATATAGTCACCTATTGAAATGCTCTTTAGTCTACTTCACATGAGACTATACTAAGACCGCGAAGAGAGTTAAGTGGGTTTTTTATTGTGGAGTTCTTCCTGTTGTCCAGTAATTCATGAGCCAATGGCATATTACTGGGTCCTTATTTATTACCACCCATAAATGACTTCATAATACTGACCAGAGGGATTATGCAGCTCACAGAAACTTTCCAAATAAGAACCATGATGTCAAAACACAGCTGAGGCCATCAACAGTATTAATGAGAGTTTTGTTAACTTCTAATGATGATGATTATTACACCAGAATTCAATTCACACTAATTATTAGTAAAAGTTTACAAACATTACAAAGTGCATAATAATATTTGGATCTGATAGGGCTGAAAAAAGACAAGAAAAACGCAACACGAGGGCTTTAGCTTTGTGATTGGTGTCCACATGACTGCAAGGAGATCATTTTCTCCATTATTTTCATCTCCCTGTGCTGTCTTCCAAATTTAAATAGTAGCATACAGAACTATGAGAAATTTGATTCCATAAGAAGAACAAAACATTTCTATTTCTTATTATTATCTTGGCTTCTCTTTCCCACCTTCCCAATTCTCTAAAATCATCATAATTAAAGATAAAAATATCAGTTGGGAAAAGTGTTCCACCTGGGAATAAAAAAAATTGCAGATGAAATTCTGGTTTGCACAGACACCAAACAAACTGAGTTCAGGTAATATTCACATTAATGGATATTTCCAAATGCCTGCATAAAAAACAGAGGAGTCTTAATGAAGCTGTTAGACTTAATTGATCCATCAGCAGTGGATCAAGGGGAAAGATTAAGTCAAAAAAAAAAAAAGTGTGTTCTATCCTGTGTATACCACCACACTATGGAAAAGAAAGAAAGACAGCCCTTTGAAAAACGAGTAGTATAAAAATTCACAGTAACATACATTATTTTTGTTTTTCATGAGCAATCAGAGAAGGGGGCAGTGCTGAGCATCTCTATTATACAATACAAAAGAGTGTAAATAACACAGCAGGAACACATGGACACAAAATGCTAAAAACAGTGCTTCCTGGATGGTACTCTTACTGGGTGAATTCTTGGGCCAGAGATACTTAAACTCTGAGGTTCAACCAAACCTTTGCAATTAGACACAATTAAATCCTCTGACATTGTGAGGGACCAGATGCTACAGAGAGAATCATCATCTAGTTCACTGCTACTGTCTACAAGCATTTCATCATGTGGTCAAGTGAAAGGATCCATACAAAATGACATCCAGACACAAGCCACATGACTTCAGCCATTGCTAATGACAGGGGCAGAGAAGAGTCTGTTTGCAGCCAGAGCCTCTGCCCCCATTTTTAACACGACAGCAAACAGGTTCCTGCCGTGTAGAACAACCATGTTCTTTCTCCCCTTGTCACGCATGTACACAAATGCATTCCAACTAGGCCTGGAGAGCTGAGACATGGTCAGATTGAGGAAGAAAAAAGTGGGTTGTTAGCTTTCAGATTTGGCTGCTTCCCCCTCAGCTTCCCCAGTCTGTTCTGTCGAACTTCGTTGCGCATCTTCCTCACCTTCTGTAAGACAGTGGAAAAAAGAGTAAGGGTGAAATAAAAACCATTGATAATATTTACCCACTCCCAGTACATCACATTGTAAATTGAAGAAATATTCCACAAGTCTGAAATTGTAATAGAGAAAGCGTGTTTTTTTCATAATTAATTACCCATCACGAAAATAGTTTAAATTGGCTAGCTAATTCTGGTTCTGTGAACTTGGGACAGCATGGTTCAAAAACAAAACAGTAACTGATTTTTCACAGTGGTTAGTGATTATCTACACTTTTGATAAATAATAGGAAATCTCATGCCCAGGTCCTGGCACTCATTTTTAAAAGGTTTATGGGTTGCAGGAATCACAAGTGTCTTTGAGCTGAAATCAGAAGTGGGGAGCAAGTTTCACTTTTTACTCCACACTTTCTTATTTTAAGAATTTTTTAAAAATGCATTTTACATCATTTATAGCACTTGATAATAACCCAGCTGATTCCTCAGAGGTTTAATTAGTTTAAATGAAAAGCAACAGTAGAAGATGAAAGGACATTATGGCAGCTGGTCAGTCCCTTGTCACACAGTAATAATGGCCTCTGCCCTGACCTTCAGGAACCTACACACGACTCCAATAAAACCACCTCATCAATGCACCCTCTGTAGCATTTTCAGCTAGTGACTAAACACTGAGATTAAACAATGCTTTCTCTTCATTTTCAGTCACTTCACCTGAGTGTAAGCTGTAGGCAATCCTTGATTCAATGATTCATATTTTGCATGTGTTAATTTATTACTAAGCAACCAATATGGCTTAGAGGCCAAAATATTTTGGTGATGTTGCAGTTAGGTAAATTAGAACAATGCTTGCTAAGAATTGGTTATCATAATTCAAATGGTTAGAGGTAAGCGGGCTAGTCCATTCAGGGGTGTGCAACCTGTGGCCTGCGGACTGAGTGTGGCTCAGAATGACTATGAATGCAGCCCAACACAAAATCATAAATTTATTTAAAACATTATGATATTTTTTGTGATTATGTGTCACAATGTATTTAATGTGTGGCCCAAGACAACTTTTCTTCTTCCAGTGTGGCTCAGAGATGCCAAAAGTTTGGACACCCCTGCAAGTGATTTGTTCTTTACACTTAACAAGTACATATAAAACACCTTACTAGAAACCATACTTTAGGGAAATTGAAAGTAATTCTTCTACATTAAAAAAAATTCTATTCTAAAGGGGGACCAAGGGGACCAGGCATTACATATCATTTTCATACATCACTTTCATCATTAGAGCAATGACTAGGCTCCCAAGATGCGCAGATGTCCTGAAAATAAGAATTGTAGATGAGCCAGCAACAAGAACTTGATAAATAAAAGAAGCCCTCAGTAACAAAAGGAATAAAGTCAGATTAGGGCATATGCAAGACAGCAGACTACTTAAAGATGATACTGCTGTATAAATACAGGATGAAGAATTTGACTCTTATGGTGCTTGGGACTTCCTAGGTGATTTTTCTAGAGACTTTCTGGGCATACTTCTCAGGGTTTAGCATAATGCTACAAACTGAGCCATGGCCAAATAGGTGGTTGTTAACAAGCTAAGGTAAACATGGGATAGCAATATTGTTTAGTTTAAGCTAAAAAGAAGGTGAAACACTCTAGAATTACAAAAGAAGCCCCTCATAATTCTTAGCTAGTGATATTTTGTCATTATATGGCTGTCATTATCGAACAGCATTTGAGTGGAAAACCCTGTAAAGAGAAGTCACTGACTTTTATCCTGCCTTACACTGTTTGTAACTCTATAGGCTACCTTTGAAGGTGGTTTGTCACACCTTAATCCTACTTAGTGGAATGCTGGAAATCCTTCCTTATTCACAGAGAGCTGTGTGTCAAACAACTCACCTGTCTTGTTGATATCAAGACCTGCTAATTTCAAGGCTAATTCATTGCTGTTGCCACTTGCAGAGGAAACCAGGATATCATGTATTGCATTTCTTCTACCTGTTCTTCCTGAAGCAATAAAATCTGCATATGTAGTTTCCACATCAGTCATTGCTAACAAATATCCACATAGCAGGGACTAAAAAAACAGAGAAAAATTAACAGGTAAATATAACATTAGTCAATGATAAACATTTTAACCGAGATTTGTTAAATTATGGCCCTATAATATGAATGTGAAATAATTGTCTTGCTTCAAAGTGAGATAATGCTTTGATTCTTGATCAAGAGTCAAGGAATGTTTTTGTAATGGGCCTGGTAGTAAATATTTTAGGCATTGGTGGGCATATGGTCTCTGTCTCAATTACTCACTCAACTCTGTGGTTGTAGTGCAAAAGCAGTCAAAGATAGTATGTTAAACAACTGTAATAATAAACAATCTGTGTTTACAAAAATGTTCACAGGGCCAGATTTGGCCTACATGCCACAGTCTGTGGCCACCTGGTTTAGATTATAAAATTCTCCTTCTCTAATGTCATTTTAGTAAGTCCACTACTCCAGAGAGGAGAACTTGAGGTCAGTTGCATACTGAGGTTGAGTGCAGGGTGAAAGTGGTCTATCCTAGAAGTAAGAAGTAATGAAGTACTTTATCTGCAGAAAGTCTAAGAACGATTATGAAACTGACCAAAGTTCAGTTTTCTTTGTATCATCACAGTACACCCAGCAATTCTAAACCATGTCAGAGATCAAATACTGCTACCAATTCAGGACAGCTCCCATGTAACCCCCCCTTGGCAAGCCATTGCTTGAGAGGAATAACCATCTTTCTTAACTGAATCTTTGAAATAAAATTTCAGATTTACAAAGGGTCAAGGTGAATTATTCCAAACAAACTTGATGATACATATCCTTAATTAAATAATTAAGAAAAATATTTTCAAGGAAAAATATATGGGATGTATATTAACAAAGGAACACCAAATGCAAATATTTAACTTACTTTTCTATCTTTAAATTTATATCCTTGCTGAAGGTCAAAAGAGGGATGGCTACTAAGATGCAGTAATGACTTTTTGTTGGGTTAATTTGTTTAAACAAGACTTTTAAAATAACACAATTTCCCTGCTATTCCCAAGTGTTCCTGTTATATTTTACTATAGTTTACGATTAAAAAGTCATACCACTAATCAAGAGAGAGGAATCTTTTCAAAACATAAGAAGTATGGAGGAAGCTAGAATTGTAGAACCCATACATCATCAGGGACATGAAGCATGCAATCTGAAATAACTTAATGCCGCTGACAGTGCAATTGAGGCTGGCAGCACATTCCTTTGGGCTGAGTTCTTCACCTGGTGCATATTGAGGGGGCTGCTAATTCAACCTGCAGAAAACTTGTTATATTCTCTCTTCTTTAAAGAAGCTGACACAGGAAAGAGGGAGGAATTATAGTGTAATACAAACTTTGAAATAGGAAATATTTGTATATTACATGTTTTACTGTGACTGTACTATGGATAACATCAGTTTCCATTCCCTTGGCCATATCTACCATTCTTTTTATGGGAATATGATTTAATGGTTGTTATAATTTTTTAAAATGTCAAGTACTCTTCAAAAGATCCTGGGCTTAGTCCTGCTTCTGCCACTGGGTCATGGAGTGACTTTCGGAAAGTCACTTGACCACCTGGTCTTCCATTGTTTAATATGTAAAATGGGACAGCAGGGTAACATTATCATTATCATTATCATTAAGAGCAATGACCATTCAAAACTACTTCATATCTAAAATCTCATACTTGGAAATTCCCTTCGGTGACCATAACCACCTATTTTTTTCTTTTGCTCTTACTCTTAATGAATCTGGTCATATCTTTCATTCTTTTAACCCTTTTAATATTATTTTCTCCTAGATCCAGTCTGAATCAATTGCCCACCATTTCATTCAGCTTCTAGTTAGCATCAGGAAGTCTCTTTGATCTACTGTGACCTCGACCTTCCTAAGTCTCACCTGGGAAAACAGCACGGTGCACTTTCTCTGATCTCATTACTGGGTGGCTAGTGTTACCAGAAAAAATCACAAAATTGTGCCAATTGGCTCAACTAGAAATTTTTGACACTATTATTAGTATACACTCTGAGTTGCTGGGAAATTCTTTTTTCACTTCTAGTTGACTCTTTCTTTTGCTCTTTTCTGTGAGAAGGATCCAAACTCTTTTCTGTCCACACAACTAGACATTACCTGATTTAAGAGATGACTTAGATATTCTTTTCTGAAAAGATACAGGACATCTGTTGCAAGTTCCCTTAAATCTCCTCCTCTCTCCAACACTTTTCTCTGTAAATCACTCTTCTTTCTTTTCTAGATGAACTAATCTCTTTCTTTTCGAATCATGCTGCTGATTCTATTTTCTACCACCTCCTGCAAGACTTTAATTCATCCATGATGTTTTTCTCAATAACTTGAATTTTCTTTCTCCTCTAAATTTCCCCCTTAAGTTTATAAGCATGTTCAAGTCTTCTTTTACTAAAAAAATTGAACTATTAAAAAAATACCCTTTCTTCAATTTTCACTCATATTTGCACTGACTAATCTTTTTCCTTCATTAAAGTTTTCAGAAGCCTTCAGCTATTTTTATTTTTACTTTCTCTGAATAAACCTTTAGAATTTTTATATTCCATTGACTTGTATATAGTATATTTTATGTATGCTACTTTCTTATAGATCACTGCAGTGATCTGTGTTAATATGAAGTAACAGCTTAGTGCTAAAGTTTCTTGTGAGTGTCCATCCTGTTTGAGCTCTCTACAATGCTTGACACCACCAGCTACATTCTCCTTGAAACTCTCCCTTAGCACAAAAAGCAACTTAAAGAGACATGTTTACTATTACAGGAATCAGATCTATCTGTATTTGAATCTAGACTTTCTATTAACTTGTTATGCTATGTCTAATTTCTCTGTACTCAGTTCTTTATCTATAAATAGTGATAGATATACTTGGTAGTCAAGGTGGCTATGAGAATTTATTTGGATTATGCCTCCAAAGAGACTAACACAATGTTTGGCAATGTTTGGTACACAGGGGAGGTGCTGATAAAAAACCAGCTGTCATTTTCTTAGCTTCCATGATATCTTACTATCCTGCTTCTATCCTTTTTGACCTTTGTAGTCTTACAAATTTCTCTTCCTAGAGTCACCTGTTAAAATAAGAGCACATTTTGTAGGAATTAAGGACCAGTCTTTGATCTTTTTTATTTCCCGACTTGAATAATTCATCTAATCCCAAGGCTTCTAATTCCTAACTATGGATAACACTGAAGTGGGCCTCTTCTATTTGTACTGTCCTCCCAAGCTTCTCATCCATGAATGAAACTGCTATTGAATAGGTATTTCCACTTGGTTTTGCACTAGCATTTCAAATTCAATGAAACAAAAGAAAACAACAACAAAACACACAAACAGAGAAAACTGGCCTTATGAATACATTATCTTGGAGCATATTTTTACTCATATCTCTCATTTGATATCCATGTCTAATCACTTACCCAGGTCATGTTGGTTTTTATTTGATGTCACTCATATTTATTTCTTGTGAAAGAGAAAAAGCTATTACCAGTGTTACTGGTATCTGCAAAGAACCACATTTGCTGCTTTAACTTCAACCACTCAGTTGGATAGAGTAAAAGATAATAATGATGACTATGAGAAGAGCCAAGATATCCCTTTCCCTTAAGCATTTATGAAATATATTTGCTAGACTGATGTGCACACAATTTTAAACCTTAAAGGTAGCAGAGAAACTAAATACTGGGAATTTAATTATGGTAGCTATTATAATTATTATTATAATAATAGTTATTATTGTACAAGTAGCATTTTATTTTTTATTACATTTTCTTTCTCCAGGCAATAGATTTATTTTTGAGTAAAAAGAATAATAACTGACAAATAACATATGTAGGGATGTGAGAATGAAGGAAGAATAAAATTACATTTTTTAAACAAAATATATAAATGCTATGAACTCTATATTTTTTCTCTTTCCATGATTTTAGTTCTTGTAGTGAATTCTGATTATGCACTTAAAAATAGTTATTTTTACATGCACATTATTTTTTCCTTTCAGTTAATTACACCAGATAGACCACTGTGTAATCAGTTGGAGATTTGCTTAGAAACTCTGGGGAAAGTGTTGCCAAATGATGATTTCTTACAGATATTTACCAGAAAATTCTAATAAATGTCATCAGCTGCTAAAGGTTTAATAGAGTAATAATTAGCACACAGTCTAGCTTTATAAAAATAAACAACTTGGAATAAAATCTGGAAAATTTACCAAGAGTGGACTTTGCTTATTCACTAGTTTCTCTATTTATGTTACCATAATTAGAATTTTCTGGAGATGACAAAATGGTAGTATTGGGTATAAACAATATAACATTCTGTTTTTTTAATATCCAGTTTTTAAAAAAGAGGCAACTGTACTAATATTCAAAGACTGATTAGAGAGGGAAAAAGACAACTTATTTAAGTACTGCATTATTTAAAGGGCAATTAAATTTTAAAACATAAATCTCTAAATATTAATATCCAAAAATTCATAAAAACCTACAACAAACAAATAAGCTTTTTCATTTTTTATGTCTCCTTTAAAAGGCCTCCCCCCTTTCTCACTCTTTAACAAAAAAAAGCAGTATATTGGTATTCTAAAGATTCTTCCTTTGTATAATGGATTTCAAACTGAGATTCATGATTCATTCTGGTCTCTTCCTTGCTTATGCCCTTTACCTTTTTAAATATAATATACACACAAATTATTAGAGAAAATAAACCAGTATTTTTTACTCTAGCAGAATTTACAGATTTAGATAGATTTCAAGAGTCTAGGAAAAGTATGTACTTACGTTTCCTGTATTAAACAAATTGAAGTGTTCCACATAGATGTATCCTAGAAGTTGGGCCTGTGAAGCTGCTAAAATGATTTTTATAGTGACATTGAGTCATGAGCCAAATGGTGACTGGATAACATGCTAATTTTACTCCTGTAAATGGGGACATATGAAATGAGACTCACAGACTTGGAAGGAAGAATGGAGAGAATGCCATCAGCATGCACTGAAGACGTCTTTCTTTCTAAT